TCTTGCACAACTCCAAGGGCCCCCTTCACAGACTCTTCTATTTTTTTCATTTCCTCCTTCAAGATATCATCCACAGAGCCCACAGCTGTTTCTGCTCTTTCCTTTTCCTCCTCTGCGAATTCTTCTTTTGACTGCTCCCCTAATGATTGTTCAGTTTTCTCCTCTTTGGATTCCTGGCCGTCCTGTTCTGTTGACTCCTCTTTATCCTGGTCTACATGCTCTTCTACAGTAATGACAGGTTCTTCCACAACAACGGCAGCTTCCTCCACAACGACGGGCATGTCCTCTATATCGACGGATGCCTCTTCTACTTCTTCCTTCTCCTCCTCTTCGGATAACTCGCTAACCTCCTTTCCAGATTCTTCCGTGCCCTCCTCTTCAGGCTCTTGTAGAGCATCGGCTACTTCGTCTATTGCCTTTTTATCACCAACTTCCGTAGAATCCTCCACAACGACTTCCTCTGGTTTTTCTATTTTTTCCTCCTCAATGTCTTCGTAGTCCTCATCATCGTGGTCCCCGATATTTCCAGACAGCATAGAGAGTATATTTTTCTTTAGATCTAATGCCAGCTTTCCTGATTCAGCTTCATCGAAATCTCCCTTCAAAGAGAACATGCCCAGCAAGGTTTTCTTAATGTCATCCTCAACTCCTAGCAACGCTGGTTCCTTTTCCCCACCCTCGGATAAGTTAACTAATCTATTTTCATTTGCGTCCAGACTGGCTTCCTTATCTGATTTAACCTCACATGAATCTTCCCCTTCTGACTCGTCTTTTTCCGAATCCCCTTCTTCGTCCTCTTCGTCTTCTTCTTCGTCCTCTTCGTCTTCTTCTTCCTCCTCCTCTTCGTCTTCTTCTTCATCCTCCTCTTCGTCATCTCCTACACCTCCAGAAAACATAGACAGCAGATCCTTCTGTAGATCTAGCGCCAACTTCTTGGATTCTTCTTCATCGAATTCTACATTTCCAGAGAACATATCCAAAACTTTCTTTTTAATGTGTTCTTCAACTTCAAACAATGCGGACTGTATTTGTTCTCCTTCTTCTTCGCATTCTTCTTCGCATTCTTCTCGGCTTCCTTCTGCGCTTTCCCCTCCACTTTCTACTTCATTCTCTTCTTCGCTTACAACCATTACTACACCGTCTGCAGCTTCCTGGCCTACTTCTTGTACATCTAGATCAAGTACCTCTTCTACTTTTACTTCTAAATTATCTATTACGCTTTCTTCAGATTCTTCTGTATTTTCCTCGGTAACGTCGTCCATAATGGTTTCTATGGTTGCTCCTAAGTTATCCTCTATAGCGCGTTCTACAGCTGTCTCTACAGACTCATCGGAAGTATCTTCTGGAGTTTCCAGCACAATCTCTTCTATAGTTTCTCCGGAAACTTCATCGACAACATCTTCAATAGTTTCTTCTACTGCTTCTTTGGTAATATCTTGTTCAGCTTCTTCAATAGTTTCTTCTGCTGCTTCTTTTGTGGCTTCTTCTTGTTGAACCTCTTCGACAGTTCCTACCAGAACATCTTTTATCATTCCTTCTAGAGACAATTCTGGAGCCCCTTCCGCAGCCTGTTCGGCAATATCCTCAATAGCCTCTTCCACATCTTCGATGTTTTCTTCGACGGATTTTACAGTCTCCTCTACAATACGTTCAATAGTTACCTGTATAGGTTCTGCTGAAATTTCCTGTACAATATCTTCAATATTTGCCACTACAGATTCTTCTGTTACCACTTGCACAGTTTCTGCATCTCCTGCGGTTTCTTCCGTTACAGGTTGTGTAGCTTGTTCTAAAATTTGCTCTGCGGTTTCTTCTATGGATTCGTCAGCTATTACCTCTGCAGCATCTTCTATAATTTGTTCAAATGCCTCTTCCACGGATTCTATAACAGACCCTTCTGCAATCTGTGCCGCAATACCTTCTTCTACTTCAACATTTGATTCTTCCGCATCCCCCTTGACAGGTTTTTCGGCCCCATCTTCCATAGCCCCTACTACAGGTTCTTCGACCGCATCTTCCATAGCCCCTACTACAGGTT